ATATATATATATATATATATATATATATATATATATATAAATATCTAATATTAAATAACATATTTAGAAGAGTCAAAATTATTTGAATTTTGATATTAATACTATCAAATATAACTGTTGAATAAATTAAATTTTTATTTTATCAAAAGATATTGAATATGTCATTTTATAATTTTGACATCACAGTGTCAATGAATTCTAACATAGTTACTCTCATATACACACACACACATATATATAAAAGACTCGTTGACATGAGATATAAGTATAAAAACATATATCAAATCTTATATCTCTTTAATAACTTTTTGTATAAGATAAATTTAATTAATTCAATCATTAAATTATGAGATATTATATTCAAAATAATTTATGTAAAATGTCATATAATTTGAACTTTTTTAAATATATTATCTAAAAATAAATATTTACACATTTTAAATATCACATTACACGTTTAAAGAAAACGTTGTGATTAACTACTAAATAATTTTGAAATCATATAAAATTTGATATATATATATATATATATATATAAAATCTTAAGTATAATATTACATAATTCAATAGTTTGATAGGTTAATTTTGTAATATATAAAAAATATTGAATATATAAGATTTAATACAAGTTTTTAGACTTAAATCTAGTATCATCAAATTCTCACTCTTTCTCTCTCTTTTATATATATATATATAATGAAAAAATGATAAGTGAGAAGAATTAATCTTAAGTATACAATTCTATGGATAATTAAAATTTTTAATTTAATTAATTTAAACATTTACTTAAATTATACGTTCACTCTTGTCGCATTCTTATTTTTTGATCATGTATATCTATTCACACATAATGTTATGTAATGTTAGTGACTTTCGTTCAACATAGAATTCTTAGTTTGGCTACCTCACTACTCTTATTTTTGTTTACATATAGAAAGAAATGCATTTATATAATTTATAATTTATACTTTTGAAATTACAAGCAGACTGACATGGTTGCATTAGTTGCAATTCGAGCTCCAAGAAATGGAAGAGAATCTTTTCGGGTCTTCACGAACATTTGCTTCCCATGGACTCATGCACTGAAATATTTCTGACAACTTTGTAGGGCAACTTGAATTCAAGCGGAAAGAATCAAATTTCAAAAAAAAAATATATAAAAGTAGTAGTTGACCCTTTGCTTATTAGATTTTGTCGCAAATTTTCACGTAAAATCTAAATTTTTGCACCGTTATTTTTAACAAAATAAATCAAAAGTAATTGCTCTATAACAATTGCCTTGAGCAACATCAACATCACGAACAATAGGTATTGGTGGTGCTATAACTATGAGTAAATCCAATTTTATTTATTAGATCACTTGATTTGTGCGTGGTTTATTAGTAGCTTCCCACGCTCTCCACGTTTCTCACATTTCTTCTAATCACCAACTAGTCAACTTGTTGACTAAGACTAAGCCATGCATTATCATTTATTGGGACCTAGCTAGGTTATCATTTCCCTAAGATTTGGTGTCGTTTTCTCACTGTCATCTTGAGGAAGATTGAGTAGAGTGAGTCAAAATTATCTTCTATTGTAATTTAAATTTCATGTTAGATTGTATTAATATTTAAAAATTTTCTTAAATTTAAAATTGATTATATTTTGTCCTATAATTTTAAAAAAATCTTATTTTAATCCTTATACTCAATTTTAAAGAATATGTTAGATATTATAGGATAAATTTTAATTACTGATATTTTTATTCGTGAAAATATAACATTAAATTTAATTGAAGTTAATTATCTCAATTTATTACTTTTAGACTAGAATAAAATTTTTAAAAATTACTAGAATTTAAAAAATAATTTTAAATTTAGCAGATAAAAATGAAAAAATTTTGATTGACTAAATATATATTTAAATCATACTTTAATCTTGTCCATTGTAATTCTGCATGCACACAGAGAAATAGGTGGGTATGAAAAAATTTGTTTAATACTCACGATAAACCACCATTAAATTAAGAGATAGAGAAATGATATCAAAAATGAAAAATGATATAGGAGAAAGAATAGTACGTTAATGTTATTAATGTTACTATTGTGTTAATTTTTTTATTATTAAATATATATCAAGTTTATAAAATTTCATGCAAATAAAAATAATTAATTTTTCATCATGTTATTTTATTTTAATATATAATATAATATTTAAAATAAAAATAAATTTTTATTGTAGATTACAAATATTTCTAAAATTTCTAAAATTTTACGTACAGATCATAAATATAACATGATTCAACTATTAGAAATGATTTTCTTGAAAAAAAATAGAAATGATAAAATTTATTTTTTGCAAAATGTTATTAAATGTATTATTTTTCTAAATTTAACATCTCATTCAATTCCATATTATATATATAGTAAAAATAAATATATAATAAAAATAATTCTAATTTAAAAAATGTGAGAATTATAAAATTTACACCATAAAATTATATATGATTAATAAAAATTATAAAAATTATTTGTAAAACATACTTAAAAAAGTCATATAATTTTATCTACCATTTAAATAAGATAGAGTAATAGTTTAAATTTGTTTTGATAAACAAGTGTAATCACTAGCATAACTCTTTAAATTATAAAATTAACTTTTATTTTGAAGTATAATATTGTATTCTAAAAAAATTTACCTCCAAAAATGTTATTTTCATACACGTGTTTGGTTGACATTGTTAATTTTAGAAAAAAATATTTTTATTTAACTAAGAAAACAAAATAAATAAAAAAATGTAAAATAATAAGTGAGAAGAGATGGTTATTAGAAAAAGTAACTTCTATTCCTATAAAAATATAAGATACTCATCTTTTATCATGAGAAAGAAAAACATGTCAAACTAAATATTTTACATTTCTAACAAATATGAGAATAAATATTCCCACCTTCACATTTTTTAAAATAAAAAAAAATTATTTGAAACAAAAGCATCCCTTGCCTGTGGAGAGGACAATAACAGTCAAATAGCTGCTCCCCACAGATTTATGATTTGTCTCTGTTTTTCAAGGTTCTTTTTATTGTCCTTCTCTGTTCATCTCATCACATTTCGTGCTCTCTTCTGTTACCTCGTAAAAATGCTGGTATGCAGTTGGAGTAACAATTATCTTACTCCAGCACAGATCTTAACCATTCATTTCTCCATACTCTCTTATCATTTCTTAATCAATGGATGAGTTGTGCTCATAGAGGGTTCTAAAATTTCTTCGTCACCTACGGGCATTTTCTCTTATGACCACTTTTTAATTAAACATTTTTGTGTACTAGTCCACTTTAACTGACATACTCATATCACGTGCTAGTTTAAAATTTTAAACACACTTGGTGCGTCGCTGCTATCTCTATAATGAGTGTTCTCACTCAAGACTCAAGCAACACATGATAAAGTTCTTATCTTAATGTCTTACTAAAAGAAGTAAAACTTAAAATATGTATGTAACATGCTACCATCATCTTTCAAAGCAAATAGATTTTCCATTTCCCTAGCGTAAGTGTAAATCACAAGCTTAGTGAACAATAATTACTTCATTACACTGCAATGTGTTATGCCTTTACCATTTGGAAGCTAAATTTGAGTTACCTTTACACCTCTCATAACGGTAGTACCTCAAAGAAACATTACACACAATATCAACGGCTATGCTTTGTGTCAATGCCTTTTGCAATACAAAAAATACAATACATAATGTTAATACGTATCCAAGCTAGCGGTTAAGACATTTTTTTCAAAATTTCTGGGGAAAATTACTGATTTTTATGCTAATTAAAGTAAACGACTTTATTCCATAGCATATGGGCTTGCATGATTTTGAGGCAGAAAGGGAATCAAAGAAGCAGCTTTTCCCTATATGAGAGGTACCATTATGGGGTAATTAGTGGAATACCTTGCAAATGGTGCAACGCGTTTAGCCCGAAAAAGTCCACCTTGGGCTTAGAATAACGACAAGCCTAATTAATTATCAACTCTCTCCCCATAAACTTGTGTTGGGTTGGGGTACGAAAGGAACCACTTAGTACTCTTTGATGCATTTTCTAGCTGTGATATACGTAAATGTTTTTTGTCTTATCTAGTAGTATTAATCACTTATCTATTAGATTTAGATCTGTTAAGACATGGTCTGTGTCAGCGATTATGGGAGATTGATTTAGCCAAGGTGTGTATCTTGAAGCCAAAACCAACATTTTCCGAGGTAAAAAAGTTCTTCCAATCATCTCCCAATAATGTTGAGAAGCGGTTTCATAAACCATGGCAGTTCCAGGTACTAATGTGTACAAGAATTGTGTATTAAAACTCCTATGCACATAAATGATGGAAGAAATGTCTAGGCTATAAATGATGGAGTGGATCTCAATGGAGGGCAAAGACAACCTAGCGTATACACCAACCTCAATGATGCACTGCATTAATATCTTAAATTTTAGCACCAACATGATCTACTTGTTATTGAAACGTGATTTTCCGTTGGATAAAATAATGGAATGGGATTCTTTTTTTATTAGCCAAAGAAAATAATACATTGCTAAACTAGACAACAGAAGAATGGAAGTGAAAATATAATTTTTGCCAATATATGTCATTGAAGTATTTAACGTTACGCTACCTTTTCCCCCCCAAAGAAAAAGGAACCAGGGGGGACCATTATATCAGCATATAATACTAACACACAAATGTAAATTTCCTAGAATTTTCATCTGATAAACGGTTTGTGTTTCATAGCTTTGCACTCATGACTCAAGCCAAATCATAACTACTCTGCTAGGACATTTGGAAGCTGAGAGCTAAAAGAAACAGAAAAAGGTAAACTTAACAAATTAGCAAATACTGCAAAAAGAAATACCGTGGTCCATTTGCTTCAAAAGTATAGATACGTTAGAAAAACTTAAACTCAATTTTAGGTCCATCAATTTAAATTGTTTATTAAAGATTAAACTACAATTAACCATCAAATTCAAGTACTTTACTCCCCGTGGGAATTAGGCAATAAAGATGGTCAGTTATGATATTCACAAAATGTTCTATCCATAAGACAGGCACAGCATAAAAAGGAGGGGGGACCCGTAAGCCAATATCTCTTTACTTTTCCCACTAATTAGAAAAATAAAAAACAAAAAAGGACTCTTCAATCTAGAAAAACCAACGGTGAGAGATACTGATCATAAAGTCATATATCTCCCCCACAGGAAGAACCACATGTTCCTCTCAAAGCCTCGCTCTTAAGAGCCCTTCTCACATGTCACATACACCTTGTTCTAAAAACCATCATTTGTTAGGCTGAAGAAACTTCGATCCTTTCTACAATGAGCAAACTCAAAACCCAAAGAAAACAAACCATTACCAAACATGTCAGCCAAAACCAAAACCAAGTGCCACAGAAAACAGAGAAACAACCTTCATGGGTGGTAAGAGGCCTATTGGCTTGTAGAAATGTCCAAATCCAACAACACCATCATCAGCAGAAGGAAGCAAAATCGCCCCCAGAAGAAAAACAACATGGCAAAAAACAAGAACAGCGAAAGCTGCAAGAGGAACGAGTCTCAGAAGAGAACAGCAAGAAGTGCAAGAAGATGAAATGCTCAGGCTCACTTTGTAACAACACTAAGATCACGGAAAAGTCTGACACAGCAACCCCGGATATCCACAAGAAAAGGTTGTCACTAAGTGGATGCAACAACAACAACAACGATGCTTCCAGCAGATCCATGAAAGCACCTCTTAATGAAATCAATGGACCCGTGTCTGCCTCCTCTTCTTCACTGTCAGCATCTTCAACTTCTTCTGGCGGTGGCTCTTTCAGGTCAATGCCATTCAGGAGACTCTCCGGTTGTTATGAGTGTAGAATGGTGGTAGACCCGGTTCTTGGCTTCACTAGAGACCCTTCTCTTAGGAGCAGCATTTGTTCTTGCCCTGACTGTGGTGAGATCATGAAAGCTGAAAGCTTGGAACATCACCAGGCTGTCAAACATGCAGGTATCATATCATATTCATAATATTATACACTTTTAATAGAAGAAAATAAGTTTTTCTCTTCAACATTTGTACAACTTTTCTTAACTAACTTGATATCCATAAGTTGATTTGATATAATGAGTTTGAATATAAATTTATATGAGTTCTAGTCTATTGAAAATAAACTCTCAAAAGTAGTTCTAACCTGAATCCAAATAGACTCCATATATAATATGATGTGATGTGTTCAGTTATATAAACACCATAATTGACATTTTATTGTATGCCACTATGCCATCTATGGTTTTAAAGTTCTAAACTTTTAATCATGTATCAATGTACTATGGTCCATGACTTGCTATATTTTTTTTCAATTTCAGTTTCTGAGCTGGGTCCAGAAGACACGAGCAAGAACATAGTCGAAATAATATTCCACTCGAGCTGGCTGAAGAAGCAATCTCCAGTGTGCAAAATAGACCGCATCCTGAAGGTCCATAACACTCAGAAGACCATAAGCAAATTCGAAGAGTACAGAGACTCCATAAAAGCCAAAGCCACGAAACTCTCAAAGAAACACCCTCGATGCATAGCAGATGGCAACGAGCTACTCAGGTTCCACTGCACCTCCTTTGCGTGCTCCCTAGGCCTAAACGGGTCCTCCAACTTGTGCCACTCGATACCACAGTGCCACGTGTGCAGCATAATCAAGCATGGGTTCAAGGTCACCGGAGGAACCGGTATCTTGACGACGGCAACGAGTGGGAGGGCTCACGACAAGGCGTGTGTGGACGAGAGTGAGGACAAGAGGGCAATGCTGGTTTGTCGGGTGATAGCAGGCAGGGTGAAGAAGAATGCAGAAGGTGGCATGGAGGAGTATGATTCTGTTGCAGGGGCTGTTGGGGCCTATTCTAATTTGGATGAGTTGTTTGTGTTTAATCCACGAGCTATATTGCCTTGCTTTGTTGTAATCTATAGAGGCTTTTGATATGTGGTGCTGTTGCTTTTTCCATATATCAGTTTATTTGCTTTGTTAGATCTTTCAAGTTATGGCATCATCTAGTTAATTAATTAATTCGTTGGTGCTTTGTGGGGGGAGTATAGATCGGTCTCGGATCATTTTTGTATCACCCCCTCTCCAATCCATGTCAGACTTAATCTATGACTGTATATTACTACAGCAATTATTAACGCCATATTTTTCTTTTTGGTTGTATATTAACTGCATAATTAGCTTTATATGTGTGTCATTTAGCTAAACTAAAACTTGTCTTGTTATTATATTAGGGAAGACTGTTACAAGAAGTGGTTTTCCTTTATCCATTCAATGCATATACTAACAGGACCTATAATCTTACATCTGCCATGAAGTTTGCTTTGTTTATCAGCTTAATAGTTTGACTCCAGCAAACTACTATTTTTTATGAAACAGACAAAATGGGAAATTTAAGTGGAAATATATCCCAAGGAGACAATAACTTTTCATTATTTTTTTCTAGAAAAAATAATCTCATGAGTCATGACAGTAGAAAGGGATATTTGTGGAAGGGAGGTCAACAATCTTCTACACCCTCAGGGTCAGAGCTCAAATTTCTCCAACGATAATAAACAAACGGTCTGAAAATTGAAAGAAAAAAAGACTCGAGACAATATCCTTTAAAGTCCTGAATTATTCGTATCTTTCTATATTTTTGTGAACTTTACATAATAAAGGTGAGCAAGTAGAAAGAATTTCATAATTTAACACATCACTGCAAAAAGGTTGCTTACATTACATCTACCATTCTCATATCTCACTAACTCAGTGGAAACCCGGCCCTGGTAACCCTTTTACTGCAGAAAACAATGACCAAGAAAAAAACAGGTTAATGGGACAATGACGAAGTTATCGCAATCGAAAGACTAAAGACACTTCTTATTCTAATTGTTTATTGAAACCACATTTGCTTTGGTTTATTGTTTTATTTAAACAGGAGTAGCTTCGTAATTCTTACAATAGCTCGATATACGTAGAAACTTGTTTAGGTGCTACTATTATAGTTAATATTAATGGAACTGAAGTCCTTCACACGCACATGTAGAAATTCCCATGACATCAGCTACAAGCAAGTCCTTTGTATTCACATTTGAAGCGAACTACTACCTTATTGTCATGTGCGTTTTCATAGTAATGCGGCCTTAATTAATACGGGAACCTCACGGTCGCGCGTGTGATCTAGATTCGTGTGGTGTAGTGCGTTACTGCGTTTCCATCGAATCCGGAACAAATCGCGCCACTAGTTGACTCTTGTTTTGTACTCATTGTATTATGATTTTGTTACCCAAATTTAAGCAACTCGGCATGGGCTTAACAATCACCACCAATGTCAAGAGATTTTTGAATATTGAAACACAACCTTTGACACTGATTATAACCAATGTTATGATGTAGCTACCCGCTCCATGTAATGCTTGTAGCTGAAGCAGAAGGGGTCTGTTTGAGTTTGATTACTCATTACTGCAGAGTGACCACTAGCACTGAGTCACTGACCATTTAGCTCTTGTTGATAACCAACAAAATATGGCGCGAAAAGAGTGGGCAAAAAGCATTTGGCGTGGGAGTTTCGCGGTAATTTTGGCAGTGCTTCCTAGTCATTGGAAACTGTGAAGGAATCAGAACTTGACATGCCATGCTAATGCTTGCTTGTTAATATCGAAACAAAAATAAAAGCTAGTAGGAAGGAAGTCAGAATAAAGTGCGAGTCTGGAGACAAAAGTGGGTGCAATGATTGAGAAAGAAATAAACATGGCACGAGAATAAATTCCATGGAAGACTTCAAAGATAAAATTCCATGTAAGACACTGCCACTAGCATGCACGGTGGAGACGTTGCACAGAAATGAGTCGGCCTTATGCAGGAAGCATACAGTGAGTGATAATGAAGAGGTGGGGTTCACCACTTAATCTTCTTAGTGGGACCAACCCATGTCCCTAGTGTTCATGATGGGTCAGGCTCATATGGTTTGGACTGTACTGTTGCACTTGCTAACTAGTAACTAGCTTCCCAAGAACACACTGTGCTCTCCTAAATTAAGGTGCCCCACCTGTTCAAGCTTTGCAATTAATACGAAGCAGTCATTTAACTCATTAAGGTGGCTTGGAAAGACCAATTTGTGGGGATGACAGTTCCAATCGCGGCCAAGCCAATACATGGCCTTCAAGTACAAAAACTAATAGAAAGGAAATTTGTAGCTTTAAAAATCGTTGCAAATCAATATATGAGCAAGGCTTTATATCTTTGTTTCCCTTGGATCATGATGAAGTCAGAATTCCATCTGATCAAATAATACAAAAAGTGGTAGACATAGCTTGATAAGTTCTTGTCTACCCTCAACAATGCTACTTGGTGGTGTCTCAATCTGTTCTCAAATTCGGGCAAATAGGACGGATCGAGAGAAGACAAAAAACAAGAAAAGTGATATTGTTAGTCCGCGTTGGCATTTCCAAATTGCACAGCGATTCATGCAAGATAAGTCAACTCCAAGCCAAATGTATCGTCAACTTACACTTTCCAGTGTTAACAACCTCCAATTTTTCTAAAAAAACAAAACAAAAACAAATTAGCGAAAAATCCAGACAATTATTATGCAGTATTCTACCTTCATTTCTTTTTATCTATTTACTCCCTCCGTTCTTAATTATAAGCAAATAAATATCATATTTTTTTTCTTAAATATAATCAAATTTTAACTACTTTTACTTCATTTAATGATATTTTTTTTAAAATATTCTTAATTTAATGCACTCCTTTTGACATTTATAACAAATATAATTTAAGAAAACTATTGTGCGATTAATAAAATTTAATAAAAATAACTAATTTCTTTAATATTCGTATTTTTTTTTGCTTATTATAAAGAGAAAGGGTACTTAAGAAGACTTCCCAAAAAAAATCTACTTAAGAAGATAATACATAATAAAATTATGATTAATATCCCCATTTATGTTAAGATAAATTAAAACTGTGTTAATTACTATAATTGAAAATAAAGTAATTAACATTATCTTAAACTTGTAATTAGGTGGATAATGGATTAACAGGTAAAATTTTATTTCGAAAGTGAACAAATAAAAAAAAAGGGAGGGAGTACAGCTAAACCACAAGTCAAGCCTAGCTAGCCATTTTCTTTGATAGTCATAATTCATTGATTTTTCTGCCTATATTATCATCGTAACCTAAATCCCTATTATAAGAGAATTCACTGTAAAAAGAAAAAAAAAACGTAATTGCACTTTTAGTTATCCACATATTACAATTGCACAAAATTAATTCATCAAGTATTAAAATCGTGTAATTTTGATCATTCTGTTAATTTTTTATTATTAAATAACGTGGTAAATTTGATCATTCTGTTAAAAAAAAATTTATTAAATAACGTGGTGTTGACATATGACATGACATATGATATAATGCCAACAAGTGAAGTGACAGATGACATGATAGTCCAAATTCGCACATCACCTCACCTACAATAATAACATGTCAGTATGTTAGTTACGAATTAACATATCAGCTAGACTGCCATGTTATCTTTAGTATCATTTAGCAAAAATTGTTAAAACATTTAACGAAAAATTGGTGGAGGATTAAAAAACATACCATTATAATACTTATAAAAGACCAATTTTATATAATGAGTTAATTACTGTAAAAAAATTTTACACCGACAATTAATTATATTTTTTAATTGTGTCATGTCATTATAAATATATTTACTTTTAACAGTGACATGATACAATTAAAAGATATAATTAATTATCAGTGTAAAATTTTTTTACAAATTTACACTAACAGTGTATAAGTGATTAACACTTATATAATTATAATATGATAGACCAAAAGTACCATTAAGACAAGAAAAAAAAAACTACAACACTTTCACAACAAAAATAAAACGACAAATGGTGGCAACAAATTTTTCATTATTAATTCATTCTTTACAAAATCAACACTCTAAAGAAGGGACTCGTTTACAAATTAAATTGACTTTTTAAATAATTAACCAATAATAGAGTGTATGAATGTATTAGTAGAATTTCTTAAATATTGAATGTCAATCTTACCATATGCTAAAAATGTCAAGCTGCTGAACCTTGCTAA